GGGGGGGGGGGGGGCCGGGCTCTGGATATAAACATCCAAACCCACACCCACACCCTTACCCACGCTTCAGTCATTATCACTAATGTTGTAGCCGATTACGTTTATATCGCCGAGCAAAATCATGATTTCACCCATTGGAAAGCAGATTATGCAAGGAAAGCTCCGATTGTACTTCGGAATGGAGCCTATTTCATCGATGATGTAGATCCAATATACGGATGGATGGAAATTGAAAACAACGATCAACTTGAATCATTCGATGAATCAAATATTGACTTAATTCTTGATAAATATCGAAATCCACCACCACAAGGAATATTCGAATATTTATTCACTTCAGACCGAAGAAAAGGTTCTACATCATCAAGCAACAAGAGTTGTAGTTAATTCAGTTCCATTCTTTTTGTGAAACACGATCTGAAAGAAGTGTTGAAGTATATAGGGTAGACATTTGGACCCATCCCCCCCCCACACACAGACAGGGACAGATAAATAAATTAATTAGCTAATATGTTAATTAATTAACTGATTAATTTATCTGTCCCGGTCTGTGATAGTTTCTGAATTCTCTGTAACGGCCTGTGCTCGTTTGCGAATTTTCTGTCCCCGTCTGTGATGGTTTGTGAGTTCTCTGACTCTGTTTGTGACGGTTTGTGAATCTTCTGCAACGGTCTGTGATAGTCTCTGCGGACTTCATAGATCAAAATACAGACCGTGACTGAAAGGCTGCATATATGATTCCAAACAGAGCTGCCAGCAGGCCGGCCTGCCAGGCCAGCAAAAAAAAACCTTGGACTGAAGTATCTAATTTTTCAAATCCAACAAATCTCATACTTTTGTATTGGCAAATCATTTTAGCTGCAGCTATTATTTTCTATTTGCCTAACGATAATCGAATAATAAGTTCAAGTTCTCCTACATAATAGAAAATTAATAAAAAGAGGTATTGCCACAAATTTTTCTCCCACACAGAAGACGTAAATCAGGTCACTAAATTAGAACTGATCTAGTCTATTAGCCTAGTTTAATATAATATGAACGAATCATCCCAAACTAGAGTTTCAAAATTCATCTGGCCTGGCAGGCCGGCCTGCTGGCATCTCTGATTCCAAATAGTGGGAGAAAAGCTACAAAGACTCAAAGACCATGGTAGACAGTTTCCAGTAAAGGAGTTCCATCCTGTTTCACATTTTAATCCCACAGGGATTGCGCTAAATGCTTTTTTCTATTCCTGTCTTCTATCTCTCATTTTTAATACAACTTTTCTTATCAAGAATAAATCATCACGAATCTTGTTAATTCCTTTCAGTTTTTGTCGCCTGAGCGTGGGTGTGGGTATAAGTTTGGTTGAGTGCTGGTTTCATTCGTAATCCAACACCAACACCCGAAATTTTTCATGAGAATTGACTTTCTTTTTTTGGGGGGAAGCCTTTAATGCCTTTGATAGAAAAATTGAGTTCGATGACATACCTGCTAATTTCGGTCCAAAAATTTGATGAAAATCATTCCAAGAATATATCAATTCCCTATCATATAACCATAATCTCTTCGGCTGAGGTGGCTCGACGTATCTTGGACAGTTCTTTGATTGTTTCACACAAAATCATATTGTCGATAATCGAAAGCAAATTCCAAGAGCAGTGAATAAGAGCGCGAGAAATATTGACTCAAGTGACTTGTTTTTCTTTTTCGTATTCTCCCTTTGCACAACTGCTAGGCAACTGACATTTTTTTAGCCATTTTTGTTCTCTTCTACTTTCGGCCGTTTGCTGATGTAAGAATAAACAAAATTTTTAAGTGAGGTGCATTTCTGTCGAGAGACAAAAAACAAACAAAGTGAAGCAGCGAATGCATTATTTGATGCTGAAAACAAATGCAGTCAGTCATTTTTCGATTTTCGATTTTGCTAGCAACATCGACTCGTAATGCTACGAATAATAATTGCGAGTAACATTTTAAGTTATACAATATCGGTTTTTTCACCAAAAATAGTTTCACATTTCTTCAAAGTCATCTAGTATAGAACTCGTTCAGATATTATTCCAGCATCATAAATATTAATCGAAATCGAAATCGAAATCGAAATCGAAATCGAAATTTTACAACTGAATAAAATCATCCTATACAATAACTTCGGGTTCAAACTGAGTAAATCAAAGATATATCTATTGACACCAGAGCTCGGACGAGTACAAGCACAGCAAGTAAAAGTAAAATACTTTTGGGTGTGGGTGTGTGGGTGTGAATGGTAGATTACACATAACGCGACTCTCGCACCCACAGCCCCACCGCCACTCACCCACGCCCACACCCACCCACGGCCACACCCACAAATACAAATAGATGTATGTCTTTTACCAAAGAAAGTATCATCGAAGGAAAAATGACTGGTTTATCTTTTATTAGGACATAAATGCATAGACCTCAAATCTTTTGCTTCTGTGTTTCAGATATAAACATTTCGCTGCTCTTTGACTTTTGAACCCTTTTCTACATCTGTCTTCGATCGTGTGATCTCCCCACTGGTTTGTTTATCGTGTAAGTATTTGAGCTAGGATGATGCATATGATAAATATCGCGTTAAAGCGATAACTTTAATTACGAAAATCTTTGTTTCGTAAACATTTTAGACAACATAAAACGAGAAACAATAATGACAAAAGTTATATTTTTCACATTCTTTGCTTTTCCCATTAGTTATTTCAGTCCAAAAAAAGAGATTGATTTTCTTGTACTCAGCGTTTCAATTCCTGTGATAGAATTGTCACATCATCAGTATTTGTTTTTGTGCCACAAACATTGGCATTGAGTTGAATAATAATTTGAAATAGAGGGAGAATTTCTTATTAACAGTGATGTTATCAAAAACCATCCGAGTTATAACTATCAATTGTAGTTGTAATCCCAACTACCATTGATGATGATATTATTAAGAACAGAACCAAGCATGGGCAACTGCTAATGAGAAGCTCTTCGAATCCCATACAATCTTAAAGGTGTGAGGAATCATTTTTAGGAGTTTATATGAAATCCTAATGAAACTTGAGAGGATACTGTAGAACCCCAAGATAATTTATGAGTATTCAAGAAACTCGGACGCCTTAGATCTTCGTATGATCTTATGGAATGCAATTACTAATCAAGTTTGCTGTTTCCTGTTGTAGACATAACTTGTTCAATTTGAGGACTGAACATAATGTTTGTTGAAGTTAAATTGAAATGATATATTAACTTTTACATTTAGATAAAAGGAAAACAAAAACAAAAGCAGATCGATAAATAGACATCAAGTCTGACAACACAACCAATATTGTATTTCACATAGTTGTTAACTCTTCTAGCAAAAACAATATAACAAGATAAGTGATGTTTTCAAATTTTTTACTAACAAACAGTGATGATAAGGATAGCTCTAAAAAACTACAACGAAATCAGCAAGAAATCGTAGACGAGCTACGCATACAATGTAAAAGCTTTAATAAAGAACGAATAATGAGTCAGCTTAATAATGGCTATCAAATAGATAAAGCATTTCATTTACATGTACCAAACGAGATAAAACATATTGCACGTAAACATGGTCTACCCGAAGTAAAATGGGATCAGATCTATCAAAATTTAATAGCTAAAAATATTGATGATCATACTAAACTATTACTTGCTCAAACAATAAAATATTCTATTAAAAATAGCACAGCTAGTGTGAAACCTGAAGAACTTCTGGAAGTCTTACGGGAAAATAATGAAGCTGGGGTAAATTCTGAGATTGTTTGGGCGTTGAGCTATCAACTTAGCAACTCTTTTGCTAAAGATTCTAAAGAGGTAATAAACGAAAACTTTATCCATGAAATCAATAGTATTGTTGAAGGATCAGAAAATAAACTCAATCAAAGTTCTGTAATATTTTTAAATGATCAACTTCAAAGATATTTCTACGGAAATCATTTAGACTATCGACAAAGTTCTCATGTACGAATAAAGACATCAGTTAATTATTCGAAGAAAATGCCTCAAAAAATTGTGACGAAAAATCAACAAGCAACTAAAATTAAATACAAAAATACCCAATCAGAAGAATCAACTGATAAATTAAATTCAATTAATGTATTTAAGAATTTAAATAAGAAAATTAAGATAAACTCTAACATAGAAAGTCTTCCAACTATACCAGAGAAGGATGGAAGTGACACATCAATCTTTCGGGATACCTATGACGAAGTTGTGCATCTTTATAAACGCATAGAAAGTGGAAAAACATTGAAGAAAACAGATAAAGACGAATATCTACCATCGAAATTTATAGGACCTCAGAAAAAATGGCAGTTTGGATTTGGATGTGTAGCAAAAGCTTCTGTTGTTCCTATAATAAAAAACCTTGTTCATAGTATAGATACTGTCATAAAACCGCTATTTATGGACAGACTGATTGCAGCTATATTTCTTGAAATATCAAAAAAACAGATATTACAAGAAAATGCTATAGCAGTACTAACGGATTGTATAGATACTCTAGATCAAGTAGAAATAAAAATTTTAGGTAATTCTACTGATAAAGCAGAAGCTGCTAAATATATTGCATTGTATAATCAGTCGAGAAATGATTTGATAACCTTGGGTTCTGTGATGCCTTCACCGCTATCAGTGTATACGCTTGTTCCAGATATACTTGCAAATGTGGTAAATGAAATTAATAAAAAAGAGACTACAGATCCAACAAAAATAATAGAAATTTTCTCATATCAAATCATTCAAATCAGACTCGCAGCAATTTCAGCTATTTATAATTGTGCTCGAAGAAATAGCGCAATTTTAAACGAAGAACGATTGAAAAAGATTGAAAAATGTCTCGTAGATGAAGATAATGAATTCCGTGAATTTGTAATAAAAATATTGCAGCTGAGTAATGATACAAATTATAAGAGTCTTTTCGACAGATGTTTAGAAAGCCTAGAACAAAATGCCAATATCGATGTTTCATTAGACTATTTATATCAACAGAGCGAGACTGAACATAGATGTCAAGAATTATTTAATGAAGATATTATAACAAGAGTAAGTTATTTATTCAGGAAAACTAAATTAAATGCAGAAACGAAAACACGTTGTTGTATGATTATCAATAATTATCTTGAACATAGTTATACTAAAGGTTTGAATGACGTTCAATTAGAAAATTATGTTTATTTCATAAATGATCCACATGTTAGTAGTGATTCAAAAGTTAATGCATTGATATCCATAGTTTTGACTGCTGAAAAAAATCATCTGTTGCCTGAGTTTGTTATTCGAACTCTAGTTGAAAATATCAACGATAGTGATGATAAATTTGGAAATTTTATTATTGTCACATTGGGAATCGTTTCTGAAAAACAGATAATAACAAAGATTGATAAACTGTCAATTAAATTATTAGATGACTGGGTTATAGTTGGAGAAGGAACTGATATTACTTTTGAGAAAAGCTCAAAAGCTACCTCTGATTGTCAATCGATTTCATCCATAGTAGCTCAGATCTTTGTCAAGTCTTTGCAAAGCAATGTAAAAATCACCGAGGAAAGTCTTGAATATCTCGCTAAGGC